TGCAAAAGGGTTCATATTTGTTGTCTGTACCTCCCATTTACCTCTGTCTTTCTCACCCTCAATGCACTACCATTATTTCTATATTAACACAAATATATAGACAAGGGAGCAGAAGGCAAATAATGCAGGAGATTTTAAGATAAAATTAGAGGATATTACATTTGAGGGACAGGCATACCTCCCAGGCTCCTGGGGTGATGCACTCAGTGTCCTGTACAACTGGGCAGCTATGATGGAAAAGTCGTGCAACACTGATTTTGTTCACTTGTGCTACCCCCGAATATCAACAGGCAACAGAACTGCCAATAGTGAGGGTGATGGTTCTCTTTACAAAAGTTCATTTAAAAAAAAATATTCCATAAGTGTTATTAAAATATCATTCCTGTCCATTTACCTGCCTAAAATACTTTTCCGCCTTTCTTCTTATCTAAGTTCCACTTACCCAACTCAGAATTCTTGCACCCAAGAAGCCTTCCTGAGCAACTCCAGCCCAAACTGATGTCTCTGGAATTCACAGCACTTCCTGACTGTATTGTTTTTACAATAAACTATTCTCCTGTAAAAGTAATATGTGCTCATTGAAAACAGAAATTATAGAAAAATATAAAGAATATAAAAATTACCTGTAATAACTTCTACCCATAGTTAATATTGTTAAGTTTCTTTTAATATTATTATACATTTGAAGGATCTGATAAACTGTAATATTGCATCTTGCTTTTTTCATAAATGACAACCATTTCCTAATCATTAAAAAAGAACTCTACATAATAAACACATCCCATAGTATTCTATGCCATTGTTTGCTTTCAATCGTATAGCCTTGTCATTCATGTGTCATTTTTTGCCTATTTAACTCTATTGTATCAATTCATTTTCTCTTCCACTTATTCTTCAAACATTCATTACTCACACACCATGAATTGTACTTACGTGTGTTTTCTTTCTCACACTAAATTATAAACTTCTTGTGAGCAGAGACCATTTTTTTTTTAGTTTCCCAAAATCTCTGAGCATAGAGTTAATAAAATGAGAAGTGCTCAGTAAGTACTTAAGAGAATGAATTTATCAAAATTTTATTTATTCTCAACTTTTTAGAAGTATTCTCTTTACATCATGGTACAGGTGAAGCTGTATCCATTGACTCTTGACTGCCTTTTAACAGAAATGTTGTTGTGTGCCATTGAGTTGATTCCAACTCATAGAGAACCTATCTGACAGAGTAAAATTGCCCCACAGTGATTCCTAGGCTATAATTTTTACAGGAGTACATTGCCAAGTCTTTTCTTCCATGGAGGGACTGGTGGGTTCAAAATAAAAAGTTATAACTAGAAAGGTAGGAAGTCCTTAAAGAATTGTGTCTCAAAATTTCCTTTTCAAGATTGGAATTTTGACTACAGCATTCCATAGGAACAATGTTAACTAATAATTTGTGACAACATTTAGTAACTCCAACAAGGAGTGAGTTAGAGTTAAGTAAGGGTTAAGTGAATTAGAGTTAATACCTGTACAGTTAGGTAAGGTGCAGTGGCACAGTGGGTGATACAAGTGAAGAAGCAGACTTCAAAGACACAGCATGTTGAAAGACATAAGAATGTTCAGAGATGATACAGGCAACAGATGACACTAGGGAATCTTATGAAGAGAACAAAGACAAGGAATCCAGGGGGCAGTAACAGCTGGTGGTCAAGTGA